CAAGAAAAAATCAACAGGGAAATGATGGTGAAAAATCAAAGGTTCCTCATATTTTTCGATTGCCCACAATACCTTAGAAAAATTGCCAAGAAATTATTTCAAGAAAAGGCATAGGTTTATGAAAATAACGAAAGTGCTTATGCGCAGAGGGCTGAACAGCTCAAACATTGGTTATTTTTTGAGGATCAAATAATTCAAACTCTTATAAAATTGGGGAGCGGTGTTCAAGAAAACTCCAACAATTTACAGAGGTATCGAGCAAAGGTTAAAAATTTCTGCGTATAAACTTATCTTTTAGCTTCAGCTGTAAGTGATTTTTTTGGTAATAACCGAAGATTGATAGTTATTTTTTTTTCTAGTTCCTGTTAGATTTCTTGGCGCAATTTGTAAGCTTTTATAGCTGAATTAGAGTAAAGAACAAATTTAAGCCGGATATGAAATTAAATCTAAGACTTTGTTTCCCAGGAACTTATAAATATTTTTCAAAATAAGAAAGGACTGTCATGAAGCCGGTTTCCTCTTCTTTTCGAACGCCTGCCGACATTATATCGCCCGGAAAATAATTGTAAGACGAGTCATGATTTTTTAACAAGAACAAAAGTGGCTTCGCGCAGAAAGCTGAACGACATTTATAATGGTTAATTTTTAGGGAACAAAGAATTCAAAATCATTTAAACTTCTGGGGTTGGTGTTAAAGTGCACAAAAAGTTTCTATGCCTTGAATTTAAAAAAAGATCACAATTCAAACTAGCAAAATCAAATTTAAGCGTGACAATTTTTAATCTTTTTTCCTGGAAAAGATTATCGACCAGAGCTACTTAAGATTTCTCACTACGCTCACTTCTGTTAAAAATTGACAAATACGTCTCTGATAATTTTTGTAGAATAAATTTTTTTGAAACATTTTATTGTTTTGCAAAGATATTTATCGTCAGAACCTGTTTTGCTATTTGCAGAGCGAGTGGTTTTTCTTGTGTCTTTTGCTTGTTTTGCAGAAAAAGTATTTTGCTATTTGAAGAGCGAGTTGTTATTTTTGTGTCTTTTGCTTGTTTTTCAGAAAAAATCAATGAAGAAATGATGGTGAAACATCAAATGTTTCTCATTTTTTTGAATTCCCGCAACACCTTACTAAAATTGATTGGAAATTATTTCAAGAAACGGCATAGGTTTTTCAAAAACAAAAAAGTGGCTATGCGCAGAAAGCTGAACTGGTGCAACATTGGTAATATATTGAGGATCAAATAATTCAAACTCATATAAACTTTGGAAGCGGTATTCAAGAAAACTCCAAAAATAAACAGAGGTATCGAGCAAAGATTAAAAATTTCTGCGTATAACCTTATCTTTTAGCTTCAACTGCAAGTGATTTTTCTTAGTAATAAACGAAGATTGGTAGTTGCAAAGTTTTTTCCAGTTCCTGTTAGATTTCTTGACGCAATTTATTAGCATTTATAGCAGAATTACAGAAAAGAACAGTTTGAAGTCAGATATTAAATTAAATCTAAGACTTTGTTTTCTGTCCATAAATTATAAATATATTCTTGAAGTTTGCTTTGAATTTTTGGTCAATATTTTGTAGCCGAATGCACCAGCTTCTGTTAATACTTTTTCTATAGTTTTTTGTGAGAATTTAAGTTAGGGAGTAGTGACTGGATGCGTTCTTTTTTTAATGGCTCTGCCAAACACATGCGCACATTGTTTCTATTCAGCCAACTACATGGGAAAAACTCCCATTTTTTGCTTCAGGTAACCAAAATTAAACATACAAAATTCCTCTGCGTTCTATTTTCCATCTTTTTCCTCTAGAGTTTAGATGGACAGGTCAGAACTTTAACAAAAGAAATCCATTTTGTCTAAGATAGGTAACTGTTTTCCATATACATGGTCGCGCAATTTTCGCCGTTTTGTTTCGGGATATCCTTAGCAAACAACAAAATGAATTTTTGTGCCGTATTATATAACCATAGAAAACTTAGCAGCAAATAAAACTGCATTAAATTTTTCGACATTTAAAAAAAAACGACCAAGGACCAGTTTTATTGATGATCAGTCTCGGACTGCGAAAAAAACTAAATACTATGAACGGAAAAAGTTAACTTGAAAGTAATTTTAATCAAAAATTGAAATTCAAAAAGCAAGTTTGAATTGAATAATTGTGACATTTTTATTGAATTCCCTTCTCCAACACTGAAGAAAGCTAGCAACCAGAAACCCACAGCAAAATTAATCTTAATGATTTTAAATTACATCTTAGCTTTTTCTTTCAGCCATTATTTTTTATTTCGACATCCACAAGTGACTATTGAATACTTCTCGATAAAGATTGATTTCGCGACTGTTTTGGGAGTGCCGTTTTTGTAGAAGACCTGTTGTTCGTACACTATCACGCCTGGAGCATACTCCGTTGGTTGACATAGTGAGTCGTAATAAACGTTTGGACCTGAGAAGGAGATCAACAGAAGATGAATGCCATTCATTTATAAAGTGAGATTATTGCGAGCGTTGCAAGTTTCAACAAAAACAGAAAATTTAAAGAAAAGCAACCGCTTGCATAATTTAAAAAAAAACAAAGTAGAGCACAGCATTAGCAAGGAAGATCGTTCCACCTGCTTCAATTTGCTGGCTCCCACTCTAAATGAGAGAAAAAATGAGCGTCCTTCAGTGTTTGTCGCCAGGCCTAGAAAGTAGTTATAAAGAGTGTGGTAAGAGCTTAATTACTAAAAATTTTTTAGGTTAAACAAATTTACGATGTGCTTTTTATAGGTGGGTTGCAAAATGCATCATATTCAAGACCCTGTAGCCATGGTTTAACCATTATTAAAACCTCGAAAAAAGCTTCTCAATTTCAAGACAAATTAAATCGTTCTCACTGACCAGGTAAGTCAAATAAAATTTATGTTCGAAAAAAAACTATTTGTGTCAATTTTCAATCCTTCAATACATAAAAAAAACCTTTATTTCAAACTGGGATGTAATTTTGCCCTTCTATTTTTTTTTTTTGGGTTCAATTTCCTCTTTTTTTCTCCTGTCAAAAACTGTAGAACAATTCATGATGGACACATTTTTGTTAAAATTAACCGAAATTGAGAAAAATTGATCAAAAAAGGAAACTTTTATTTTGCTGGGAAATCTGATAATTAAATTCTGTTTTCGAAATTAGAAGTTAATCACGTTTTTTGTGACTTTTACAGTTTTTCTGATCAAAAAGGAGTTTGCTTTCTTTTTAACAAAGGATATGCTTTGAATTTAAAAAAGAGATCACAATCAAATTTGAGCGCGACACACTTTAACATTTTTTTCCTTGAAAAGAATATAGCCCAGACCTACAAAAGAGTACTCACAAACTCACTACCTCACTACACTCACTTCTGTTAAAAATTGACAAATACGTCTCTGATAATTTTTGTAGAATAAATTTTCTCGAAGCATTTTATTGTTTTGCAAAAATAATTGTCGTCAGAACTTTTTTGCTATTTGCAGAGCGAGTGGTTATTCTTGAGTTTTTTTGCTGGTTCAAGAAAAAGTCAACTAGGAAATGATGGTGAAAAATCAAAGGTTCCTCATATTTTTCGATTGCCCGCAATACCTTAGAAAAATTGCCAAGAAATTATTTCAAGAAAAGGAATAGGTTTATAAAAATAACGAAAGTGCTTATGCGCAGAGGGCTGAACAGCTCCAACATTGGTTATTTTTTGAGGATCAAATAATTCAAACTCATATAAATTTTGGGAGCGGTGTTCAAGAAAACTCCAAAAATAAACAGAGGTATCGAGCAAAGATTAAAAATTTCTGCGTATAACCTTATCTTTTAGCTTCACCTGCAAGTGATTTGCTTTGGTAATAACCGAACCTTGATAGTTTTTGTTTTTTTTCCAGTTCCTGTTAGATTTCTTGACGCAATTTATAAGCATTTATAGCTGAATTACAGTAAAGAACAGTTTTAAGCCGGATATAACATTAAATCTAAGACTTTGTTTCCCATAAACACGTAAATTTATTCTTAAGGTTTCTTTTGATGTTTTTGGTCAAAATTTTGTAGCCTAATGCACCAGCAAAAATTTTTTTTGGCTACGATTTTACAAAATCAATGATTTTTTTTCTGTATTTTGCTCGCGAAAAATATCTGAAATTTGTAATTTCTTGCGTGCGAATTGTTTCTGTTGATTATTTGTTTTAGAATTAAAATTAATTGATTGTACTAAACGACTTTGAGGGTTACATAATAATTTGAGGGAGAGCAACACGACCAGTTTAAGCGCTCATTTGTTTGCTATTAATATTAACAAACAGTTTTCGCCATTTGATATATCTGGATTTCTGTAGCAAATAATAAAGAAAAAGTTATGGAGTTCGCGCCACATTATACACAGCAGTTTGAAAAACAAGTAAGAGATCCACATAAGTTTCATAGTCCATATCTTTCACATACAAACAAAAAAAATCTAAAAATCAGTTCAATGCTTTAAGGCCAGTTTTTATAACCACACACAAAATTATATGAAAAACTTGATAAGTTAGTGGATAAATTGGTGGCGTCCCTCATGCTTGAAGGACCGAATGCTTGAAATTTATTTTAGCATTATTTGAGTATTCAAAATCTAAAAATAAATCGTGAAAATCTCAAAGTAAGAAAATAAATCCAAGCCAATAGTGTTAATACTGACCGATTAGATAATATGCAGATGAGTTTTCAAGAATTGAAAATTCTTATGAATTTGAACTCATAAATATTCATGTTTATCTGATTAGTTTTGCGGTTGTAGCCCGCAACTTGTAATATTTTTGATTATTTTCCACTGATTTAATACATTTTCTGTTAATAATGACTTCGATTTTGTGAGAAAGGCATTTAGCCAATAGGAACGCTTAGCGATTTTGATTGGTTGAAATTTTTCAAGCATTCGGTCCTTCAAGCATGAGAACCCTCCCCGATAAATTGATAGGTGAAAATTAAGTGTGTGAAATTAAGTGTGAAAAAGCTCTGTGTGCTTTTATTGTACCTGTGTCTTCGTACCAGACGCGGCTCACTTCACAGCTGATGGTATGGTATTTGGGCGGGATTATCACATTCACAGTGTCGGGGTCATCCACTATGAACTTCATGATATCGTGAGTGGGCCACTCCATGTATGTGGCTAAAATAATCCGACTTAAATTATGTAAATAGTATAAAAAAGTACAGGATTTATTTAAAGATGAAGTTTTTACTCACATTCGGGGATGAGAAATTTAAAAAACATTTGGGATTTCTCTTGCTTTTTAACCTTACAGCCGAATGTTAAAAAACCTTTCTTTTGATTTTCTACATTTTTCTACAATTGCAATGCCGTTCACTGTGAGTTTAATTGTTCTGGTCTTTTTGATGTTTTTCATTTTTTGATTGGCATACGACAACAAATGGACGAGTCAGCGCAAGTTGAGTAGTTTCCGGGGTGGCACTTGCTGCCCGCCTCCTTCCCATCCATCAGGTCACTGTTGAGTACCCGGTGCACGAAGGCGTCTTCAGGCCCCTCCCCTTTGTCCACCTTATGGTCCACTGCTCCAGACGAGGTGTCATAGGTAGACAAGGTCTCCACCAGAAGTTGGAACCCGTGCAAATAGATTTCGGACGACTAAACACACATGATTTGATACCGAACAACTGATAATAGAAGTAGAAATTAAAAGCTTGACATAACAAAAAAACTACAATTTGGGCGGGTAATTTGATGATTTTTTGAATTTCACCTTGAAAAATTAACTCGAGATTAATTAACGAAAGAAAGATTATAAAATAGTAGATTTGAACATTCGGTTTGATGTGGAAGTCTTCAAAACATAATTAATTGATGGTGACAGGGGCGGATCTAGAATTTTCTCGAAGGGGGGGGGGCGAGGGATTATCAAAAAAAAGTCGAAAATGTTGTCGACCTTTTTCTTAAGGTCGACCAAATTGATTTTTCGAGCTCTCCCAAAGCGCTATTTTGTCTCTATTTTGGCCAAATTTTCTGCGCGGCAGGCAATGTTTTAAAAAAATAGACCAAAAAAGCGTTTTTAGCTACTTTTTGGACAATTTTGACCGAAAAATTGCGTTTTTTCGGCGCTACCCCCCCCCCTCCCAAATTTAGAATATTTTGGCGCCGAAGGCGCCTTTAGAAAAATTTCAAGGTTAGTCGGCCAAAACTGGATTTCTTGAAAGTATCAAAGGGGGACCCTTTGGGTCGGCAGGGGGTCGAATCCCTGAGGGGGAAGGGGCCTCCACCTCCCCCACCCCTAAATCCGCCCCTGGATGGTGAACCATATTTTTTTGCATTTTTCGGTGCTAGTTTTTCAACTATTTATAATTACTGTTAGTATTAATATATTAGAATTTTTTACTATAAATACTATGTAAGCTCTTATGTGGAATTTCTTTGATGCAGAGTTCGGTTCTTAAAATAACATTTGAATGTTTTCCTGAGTTCTGTTTCAGTTCTTCTTTTTAAAACACTTTGAGTTTACTTCAAGTACAAGAAATACTACAATCAGCATGCTTCAAAGAGGCAAAACTTTTTTGGTCATTGCAGTTCTACGGCAAAAACTTACGGCAAACCGGAAAAAAAAATTGTTTTTTTTTTTCAAAAAAAAAAGAAAGTTTGATTGAAACTACATGTAATATCTTGGAATCAGAGAGTGTTGTTGGCTTAAGTTTCTCGTTACCTTGTTAAGAGGAATTGATTTTTCACTGATGTTTTTGATGATTATATCAAAGTACAACTGCAGTCTCTCTCCGTCGATGACCACTGCCTCTAACTCCCCATTCTCATTCTTCCATAAGTCAGAAGATGAAAGCCGGGAGGGGGACTGTTCGTACAGTTGAGTGATCTGGTCTTCGCCCATGAGAGAGAATCCGTAGCAGTAATCCACCCCGCACTTTCTGTCCTGGTTAAACCCGTGGTAGATCTGATTTGTGGCTTTGTGGTGCGCTGAAAAACACATAAATTTGTTCAAATTTGTTTTTGTTTTTGATGAATATTTTTTTCCGATCGAGCTCAAGTTCAACGTTTCATATGTTTTTTTTGCTCTTTTTCAGCCCCTCCACTTTCATGCACCTCGATTTTATTTATAAAAATTATTTCAAAATTTGAAAATTATTACAACAATGTCATACTGTAATAAAATATCTCGAGGTGTGAACAATTTAACTTTTGCTAGAAATTAGTGGTTCGTCAATATTAACATTGTTGCAACTTCGCGCGTTCAGCCATAATAACGCTTAAAATCAGTAGCGGATTAATGGGGGGGGGCTATGGTGAACGTTCCCACTCCACTCAGGGATACGACCCCTGCCGACCCAAAGGGTCCCCCCTTTGTACTATTTTGAGATATCCATATTTGGTAACGGACCCTTCAAACTTTCTATAGGCACCTTCACTGCCAATGTATACTGATTAAAAGAAGAGAACGCGCGCCAAAAAAAAACGCGATTTTTTGGTCGACATTTTCCAACAAATAGCCTTAAAACACTTTTTTTGGCCTTTTTTCGAAAATTTGTCTGCGGCGCAGAAAAGGTTGTCGAATTAGGGTCTTCATAGTGTTGGAAGAGCTCAGAAAATCAACTTGGTCGACCTAAAATAAAAGGGTTGACAAAAGTTTCAAATTTTTTTGAAAATCCTCCCCTCCCCCCCTCGAGAAAACCCTAGATCCGCGCCTGCTTAAAATTACTATGAAAATAGTATTTCTGAAATGTGGGGAAAAGAACTTATTGATTTTATTTGACTGACGTCGGTTTGTTCTCAATACAAAAAAGCATATCATACAATTCTATTAATAAACAAAACAGAAAATTATACAGCCGGCGTGACCGAAAAAAAAGTCCGCGATCGGCACGACCGAAAAAAATTAAGAAGCCGCAAATGGCGTGATTTTTTTCCATTTGATTGCTTACCTGCAAATTTCAAATAGTGATGTTTAAAAAAATGATTGCGAAGTTTTTGCTGTACCACTTTGCAAGAAACTTAAAAGACTTTGCGATTTTATCCTCAAAAATTTTAAGTTTAAACTCCTCATGGCTTATCGGGTGTTTAATTAAGATCACGCTTCCAAGTCCGCAACTGATGATTAAACTGTCGCGACTCACTTTCGATTTTCGCGAACAGTTCCCAGATTATCGCGACTGGTTAGATGCAGTTATTGCGACTTATTATTGACCTCAGTACCGTGACTCATTTTCAGACTGTTTGTCAGATGAACACGGCTTCATACCCAGATTAATTGCGGCATATTACTGGGTTGTCGCAACTTTATGTTCATTTTACTGCGACTCAATTTCAGACTGTCGCGACTATTTTCCGTACTACGGCGACTCAACGCCTAATTTATTCTGACTCGTTATCAGCTTTTCGCGGCTAATTACTGAACTGCCATAATTGTATGTCCAGAATTTTGCGACTAATAGACTTTGTCCATTACTTTTAAATCCTGAACGGACTACGAAACTTCCGCTTAATTAAGTCGCTTGGTTTTCAAAGTCTACAAAATGCGGACCCTGGCCAGGCAAAAATTATTCCTGAAAACATAAAATAAGTGGAAATACTGACCTTGTATGGAGAATTTAGCCATTTCAGCTAGCTCAATGTTCTCCTGATCGAACAGAATGCAGAGGTTAATGAGCCTCTCACCCGAGTGGTGGAATTTGTCCCCCAACCCCGGCATTGTGTTCTCCGGCCTTGCACCCATCAAATTCACAGCAACTTTTGATTCAGCATGATACACTATGGCAAAATTATTTACGCATGAATAAGGCTTTCGGAATCGGAATGTTTTTTCTGTTATACGGCTCAAAAAATGGACCACAAGCCTCGAATCTGGTTGGTTGAAACTTTTTTATTGTAACAGGGAGTCTAGTTTTTCATTATAAAAAAAAAGCTCAATTAACATTTTGGTCACTTTAAGTCGTTATTATAAAGAACCTTCTTATTTGGGACTATTTTAAACCAGGGTTGACTAAAACTTCTTAGCATACAATTCCATACGTACAGAAAGTATGGAATCTCTATCATAAGCATTTTTCTATATATGAAACTGTATAAGAAGTATTTTTCCATAAACCAAAAATAATAAACTCTTACATCTTAATTTCCCAGAGTTTTTTGGTTGTGTTCGTACCCAACACAAGTGACAAAAACCTTGGTTACTCAAAGTAAAATAACCAAAAGTTTGACCGTTTTGCAAAAAAAAGCATTGGAAACGGCCTGAAATGTCTTCTCTTAGTCTTATATATATTAACTAATGTAAGTATTAAACTTGTATATTTTTGCCAACACTTTCAACGATGGATACTTTTAGAATTTGATTTTTTAATTTATCAGACATTGATCAAGGCATACATAAACATGCCATATAAAAATTAGGAGTTTTTAGTGTTTTTGAAAAAAAAACGTTTAAAGCGAAAAGTAAAAAATAATTTAATTTGGTGTTTCCAGGACTACGTTATGCACACAAATAATTAAATTTTGCATGCAAAAACTTCTTTTTAAAGTTTTGTGTGGGTACAAAATTCCATTTGCAAAAACAAAAAAATGGAGCAATTTCAAAAAAAAATGTCGCCATCAAAAAAAACGCTAGTCATCAGCGAAAAGGAAGAAATCGAACATTAGTTTATCCAGGACTATAGTATGGACACAAAAAATTTGAGTACAAAATTCAGTTTACGGTTGAAAAACAACGAAAAAAACATTTGGTGCAATTTCAAACTAATCGGAAAATTTTTATGTCACCACCAAAAAAAAACAAGTCATAAAGTTTCAATACATAGAAATAACATGATAAGCATTTTTTTCAAAAATCAAAAACCTCAATTTTTTCATTCGCAGACTGTTTTATTAAAATCAAACTGCCGCAGAAATTATTTTATGTCTTTTTTCAACCATTTTTGATGTACTTGATGTATGGAACTGTATCATAAGCATTTTCGGTGTATGGAGTTCAACCTGGGGGAATAACACGGAACTATTTCTCGGGCTTGTATCGTTCACAAAAAGTTGGTTTTTCTGCTTGTGTTAAAATAAACATTCATTTTTTCTCGGCTCTGTTTAGTGTTGACAGGCCTTTAGTAATCAAGTTGTTCCTATGTGAATGTGACAGTAAATCACATGTTAAAAAAATTGTACCCAGAACGAACTTTTGGCCTTTTTCTCCAAAAAAAGGTGCTGATAGACCTCAGTAAATCTTGAAACTGCTTCCCTATTTATCACGCAAAAATTAAACCCAAAGAAGCCCCCTTGAAGTCTATTTTAGTAGCAAACTGGGCTCACTCAACTACTTCGATAGAAATTTGGGACTCAATATAGGGCTTAATCATCCAATTTTTTAACAAAAAGAAAACATTTGTAGGTTACTACAAACAAACTTAACAGGTCGTCGAATGGCAATTGCCTGTCAATGTTACGCCTCTGAGCAAAAATTTACCGCTTCTAAACAATCTGAGTTTAAAAAATTGTCCGAGTTTCTGACCAAAAAAGCCTTGATGATTAATAGCATTTACTAAGCAAAATATAAGTATAATATAACCATCAACTAAGTTCTGCGATGTACCAATGACAGCAAAAACAAAAACAAAATAAACTTCCAAGTTCTTAAATGCTCTTCTCTTTTTGATCCATGCAGAAACATGCCGTAAGTATATCTAAAAATTGCAACTTATATTACCTTTTTAAGGTGAAAAGCAACCTTGGCACTTAATTTTTTTTTAGAAAACTCAATTTTTTCTTAATCCGTTTTATTGGCTCGCTCATAAATCAAAACACCATTTTGTACATTTATTTCAAGAGAAAACTTGTAAGAATGAATTAGGGTATCTTGTTGAAAAAACGTTCTACAGTTATATAAAAATTATTTTGATAATAAAATTGCCGCTTTATTTTTCTTAAACATGTGATCTTGTTTTTATAATCAAACATTTTGTCGAAATTTGCTCCTAAAAACTACAAATCGGACAAAAATTCCAGCTTTTTGTCATCCCATAATGCTAAAAAAAATGTCGATATTGTTTCTGAAATAGATATACTTGTTTCTACTTTCGTTTACCGTCAGTTTATTTATATGCTATCAAGCTGGATACATCACTCAAAATCTGAGACAATTTTTGGCTTTGGTAATCCATTATAACGCAGAATTTGGTTTCAGCAGCAATAATTGTAAAATCAAAAGCTCTACAAGTATTTAGTAGAAGATTAACATCATCAGAAACATGAGTGGACCAAAAACTGGACCCTAAGGAACACCACAATATTGGTTCTGTGTCTAATTTTTTGTTTAATAACTTGGACATAATTCGTTAACAAGAGGTATGATTGTAGTAAGTCAATATTGGGTGTTCTCAAACAAATGAAGAATTCTTTTTTTGCAATAAAATAAACTGATGTATTTATCAAACGCTTTCGATTGATCAGTAAAACAGCATTCCACTGTTTTTTGCGCAATAATTGTAGTCCTATTGCTTTTTCAGTGATAAAATTTAATATTTTTGCAGGGAAGAAGTAATGTTAACGGATATAATCTGTTCAATTTTGTTTTCTGTAAATGACAGCAAAGATATTAGCCTATAATTTCTTTCAGTTTGATTGTGATTAGATTCAATCTGCTCATTTTCCTAACAATTGTGCTTATTCAGTTTCTTCCATGGAAAAAAGACCATCATGGGTATCAATTCCGACTTTGGTACCTGGTATGTTCTTTTTTTTTCAGGCTGTGAAAAAGTTTATTGTTGAAATTATTGAAGGAAAAACAAAATAATTGATCTTGTTTCGAATTAAACTCTTCAGAATCTTTTTGCTTTTACGAAAAGACAAATGGCAGCAATTTATATCAACTGAAAGTGACGTTTCACATGCATAAGTGTTTTGGTAGCGTTGTGGGCTTTGAAGATTGCCAATTTCAACGTTTCAGACAATAAATCATCTGTTTATGTTTTCCTATAATGTCTAATGAGCTATTTTTTCCGGCTTTACAAAACTTCGAAATTGGATTGATGCGAGCTAATTGGTTTGATCATTACAAAATTAGATGCAAATAATATCACTTTGTCACGTGCATAATGTCTTCAAAAACTTTTCCCATATAACAATCTGATTCTAATAATCAAATTTTTTTAAAACCAATATTTAAGTAAAAACGTAATTGGCAATCAAATTATTTAGGGTTTTGTTTTCATACGATAAGTGTTTAGGCTCCAAATTCTGAGGAAAAAAACGGATTTTTCATGCTCGGCTGGTTTTTTCTTCCATAACACTAACAATTTTGAGCTAGCAGTTTTAGTTTTTAAAACTGTTTGAAATAGACGGATGTTTTAAACACTGTCTTAAAAAAGTTACTGGCCAGCAATTGAATTTATTCTGTGATAGTTGCTGATAAAACTACGAAAATAGTTTCAGCTTGCGACTTTTTTCCGACTATTTTTTCCGATTCGGATAATTAACTAGCGATATATTTTGTTCTGTTAAAGATTAAGCACTGATTAAACTGCTTCAGATTGAGCTGAGTTAAGCAGCTTGCTCTCTATTAATACATTCGGAGACGCAAAACATTTAAGTTTAAAAATAACTTAGGGTGTGGGGTGATTAAAATTCTGACTGATGAAATTAAGCACATAGATTAAAAACTCTTTTTTGAATGTTTTATTGGGAAAAAATCCCCACACGCTATGTTAAAAACAAATTGACATTTTTGTTCTGAGTTTTGAAGAAAATGCCGAATAGTAATGCTCGGGGTTGTTTTTTGGTTCTTTTGATTTTTCCTTTTTCAACTAATTGATCTGGTTTTGAAATAAGTTCAGCAGACTTATTTTATTTTCTTGAAAGGACAATTGACAGCAATTTAAATTATCTGAGTGCTTGTGACGTGTTGCTCTTGCATTAGTTTTTTGTTAGAGTCGTGGGATTTAAAGGTTCCCAAATTTAACATTTCAGACAATTAATTATCTGTGTATGTTTTTCTTAATGTCTTGTGAGCGAGTTTTTCCGGCTTAACAAAAATTCCAAATTGGTTGATGCTAGTATTTGGTTTCATCATTACAATATTAAATGCAAATAATATCACTGTCTCTTGCATAATTTTTTCGAAAACTATTCCCATATAACAATCTGATTCTAACAATCAAAAATTTTTAAACCAAAATTTAAGTAATAACATAATTGGCAATCAAAATATTTCGGGTTTTGCTTTTATACGATAAGTCAAATTTTTCACGCTCGGTTGAATTTTTCTTCCATAAAACTTATAATTTTGAGCTAGCAATTTTAATTTTTAATACTGTTCGAAATAGACGGATGTTTTAAACACTGTCTGGAAAAAGTTTCTGGCCAGCGTTTGATTTTATTCTACGATAAGTGCTGATAAAATTAAAATAGTTTCAGCTTGCGACTTTTTTCCACCCATCTTTTCAAATTTGGATAATTAACTAGCGATGTATTTTGTCCTGTTAAAGATTAAGCACTCCTTAAACTACTCAAGATTGAACTGATTCAAGCAGCTTGCTCTTTAATAATGCATTCAGTGACGCAAAACATATCACTTTAAAATTAATTTAGGGTGCAGGGTGATTAAAGTTCTGACTGATAAAATTAAGCACATAAGATAAAAGCTCCTTTGTGAATGTTTTACTGGGAGAAAAACCCGCACACGCTATGTTAAAAACAAATTGACATTTTTGTTCTCACTTTTGATGAAAATGCGGAATAGTTATGCTCGGGATTGTTTTTTTTGTTCTTTTAAT